GGTGAATTCCACACAGCTGGTAGAAGCAGATGGGTGGAGCTGTCGCTGAGAAGTCAGGTCTCCGATGCTGGGAGGCGCTGGCCCCCCACTTTCCTCCGTCTTTTGTGTCCTTGATGAAGGAATTCAGTCAAGACATACAGGTGGTGTGCAGAAGTACAGGTAGAATTTATTGTAGAGTAGATGCACAGAGAGTTACTCCTTTGGGTGAGAAGACAGGCATTGCCATGCAGGCATCTGCCCGGAAAGCAGGTTGGGATATCATTTTGTGCACCCAAGAGTTACTTTCGGGGTTCAGGGAACTAGGGGAATTATGATGTTTATTGACATTTTACCTAGAAGATGCTTTGGAATTGCAAAATGTCTTCCTTTCCATTTTCAGATGGTCAGTGTTCCCTTGGGGGCCTTAATCATGTAAGAAAGTTACAAAAGAAATTTATGAAAGATAAATTCTTTAAAGAACGTTTGTTTTCCTGATACCATTGGCCCATAGGCTATGGAAGCCAGGGATGCTGTATGCCTTCTTTTAGAATTAGAGGCCCTGTGTCTTTGGTCCAGGACCTAAGAAGTGTTTATAAATGCGTTATACTGAAGTCTTTGTTCTTAACCATTACTGGAAAACATGTTATTTTATACTCCCCCTTTGTGTCTCAAGCTCACCAATGTCTGATTACCTGCCTCGTACAGCTATGCTGAGGAACAAGTCACAAGCTCAGCCACATACGTATAGACTTGAATGGGCCGTGGTGAAGGGTCCCAGTAGATGCTGGAGAAACTCTTGCCCAGGTCTGTATGGGAGCAAACATGTTCAGAGGTGTCCCTTACATCACGCTTTTGGGTCTCAGGGAGTTGGAGGCACCATAGGTACTTAGCATTTGGGGACCCATTGAAATGTGGTTTATGCTAAGAGTTTATGCAGCTATTGATGCAAGGAAGGAGCATGTTCCTTTACAGAGATGTCGAATGAAAATGTAAGAAAGAGTGAAATCTGTAGCATTATACCTGTGTTATCATAACAAGCACCTGAGATACAGAATTTTTTGAAAAAAGCGTAAGCACATTTTGGCTCACAGTTTTGGAGGTTTCTTTCCCTTATTGCTGGGCTCTGTTACTTTGGGCCTGTGGTAAGGCAGAATTTCATTGCAGGAAGCATGTGACAGAGGAGACTGCTCACCTTATGGTGGCCGGGAAGCAACAAGCCAGGAAGAGGAGGAGGTGAGGGGTCCCAATATGCCCTTCAAGGATACACCCTCAATGACCTAACCTTTCTTCCACTAGGCCCTACCTCCTAGAGGTTGGGGCACTCAAGATCCAAACTACAGCAGCATCATTTTAATAATGTTAAGAAATTCATACACATACAAGCAATACTGTATTTTTATATTTCCAGGGCAAATTCCTAAAACATTAGACGTATGTCTATTTGGTGGGGAAAAAGGAAGGAAACAGATTTAGAGATCAAGGGTAGAAGAAAAATTTTCAAATAAAACTAAAGAAGAGTACAAGTTTGAACTTATGAGTTATGATCATTAATGGGCCATGAAACAAAGAAACAATTTAGTTTCCCCTTGAATTCCTCTGTATAAAAATTTACTCTTTCTCTCGCACTGATCCCTATAAAATAACAGTTTCTGTGATATGTATGAGTGCACGCCTAACAGTATCATCAGCAATCAATTGTCAAATACTCTTTAAACCTGTGTTATGAGTAGAGTCCTGGGCTAGGTATGATTGAAAAAGTACATGGTATTGTCCTTTTTCTTATCATGCAAATTGCATGTAAAAGAGCATGAAATTAAAAATAGTTTATAGGTATAATAATTCCAAACTCTCAAGTGCCCACATGGTATGGGAGACATACCAAATGAACTGCATGGGATTAGAAAGAGATGGTTATTAAGGACAGTAGTCAGGAAATCTGGAGGTTTTCATGGAGAGAGAAGCTCTGCATGGAGACTTGCAGGGTGGTAAGGATTGGCTTGGGAGGGGAGCAGAGTGGAAGCCTGGGCATGGATTTTGGCTCGGCAGACCCCATAGAGTGTGTAGGTTTAAGGTGTGGGTACGGGGTGCAGTATTCTGTGTTCCTGCAGAAGTCAGCTCTGAGGCTTGGGCTTGCCTCCAGGGCTCTACAGGAAGCCATTTGTACACCCTCTCTAGGCCTTTCCTGCTTGGCTCGGTATGTGGGCACTTGAGAGTGGGATTTGGGACTTGGCCAGGAGGATGCATCTGCTGCTGGCCACCAGCATCTCTTTCACTTCGTTTTCCCCCTTAGACTTGGGGCTGCCTGCTGGCATCACCTCAATACTCCTTCCACAGGATGAAGGAAAAGGGTCTCTTTAATGTGGCAATCTGACGTTGTTGACATTACGTGGAAAATTCTCTGCACATTCATGGGTGATCTTCCAGCAGTCATTTAAAAACTTCTAAAACATAAAAAACATACATGCATGAATTTAGAGTTAGATGATTTGTGAGGTCTGTTAAGGCAAAATACAAACAAAGAGCATAATAAAGGATGGATAGAAGGAAACAAGGGGATGGATCTTTTGCAAATGGGAAGGGGTCCAGGAGCTGTAGGGAGAAGGGAGCTCCAGGGGAAAGGGAAGTAAGTAGAACGGAGGTCTGTTGCGTACAGGAGCCTAGTAACCTCAGTGATGTGAACAGTGTATACCATAAACATGAGCTAAGAATAATAACAAGAAAGAAAGTGGGAAAAGGGATTTAGAGACAGAGGGAGGGAGGTAGATGGGAAGGGGAAGGACCTTAAAGAAAAGAAACAATCTCTGTTATGCACATGTACCCACTCCCCAGGGCCAATGTACACTTCATATACTACAAACATGTGCTAATAGAAAATGAAAAGACCTGAGAATACATTTTGTAGTCAAAAACTGTTTGCTTTCAGTTCACCCCACTCCTAATACAAACCAAGAGTGTAAATCATAGCTGCACAAAGGAGCTCTCTTTCTCAGCTGTTGTTCAACCGAGGCTTTCTGTGCTGAATTTTTCCTCCATAAGCAAACTTTATTATGGGACTGTTGTGATGTTGATTAGAGATGTGTAATTTCAAGAGTATTGTCATTAAATAAGTTTGCACATTCTTGAACTTGAACTTCAAAAAAAAAAAGAAAGTCATGAGTCCCAAGGCCCCTGGACCTTTCCCTGTCTCCATCGTTTCTACTTAGGTCACTGGAGCTCGTTCACACATTCTTTCACGTTTTTCATTTTGTAACACAACAGCTTGTACACTTTGAGTGTTTAAAACCATGCTTCACCTTTTCCTTTCCAGTGAAAACAAAAAAAAAGAGAATTTAAAAATAAACCAACAAAATTACAATAGAGAATGTCAGTGTAAGACCCTACCGGTTCTGCTGGTTCTCCCATTGAGTGGCAGGGTTCACGTCATCATTAGGAGAGAATTTTACTTTAAAAGTGTCATTTTAAACTGCAAGGACGTCCATTAACATCACAGTCAGACATGCCAGAGGAGAAGCCATGTTGTCAATTGTCCACTTAACACACCCAAACATCGCAAACCCAGTCAGGCTTTGCTGACCTTCTATACTCAATTTTTAAGAGTTTTTTTTTTTCTTCTTTTTAAATAAAGGAGCAGACAATTATATGTTGGAGAATGCTAACTGTCCATACTCATGTAGAGACACAGTGTAATATCTAACCCAAATCACAGAGAAGGGAGGGAAAAGCTGGAATTCTATGCACTGCTGCGCAGGGCCAAGCACCCTCCAGCTTCCAGAGGAGTGAAGGGAACGAAGGGTTTTCTTTTTTCCTACAGAGCATGACGGTGTGGACTCCACACAGTTTGCCTGGAGACAGGAGGGGATCAGCATGCATTTAGAACAGAAGGTTGGACACGTCCTTTCCCACTGTGTGCTGCTCAGGGTTTCGCTCCACAATGTAAGTTGAGAACCACAGTGTTTGAGAAGAGAGACCTCAAGAACGGTCACTGAGCACAGGGGAGGGGCAGACTGCAACTTGCTCCCAGGGACTGGAGAAAATTAAAAAGGAAAAAGAACAAAAAGAAGTTTGGAATCCAACAATTAATCATCTTCTTCATCCTCCTCTCACTCCTTCAGCATCATCTTCTTCATCTTCATTCTCATCCCCTTCTTTATCAATATCTTCCAGTCCATCATCAACTTCCCCTTCTCCTCCTCCTCCTTCTCCTCCTCCTTCTCCTTCTTCTTCATCTCCTTCCCTTCTTTGTCATCCATATCAGGAATCAAGTAGCACAGCAATGGACTTGGCCATATAGCACCTGTGATGACCTCTCCTAACTCATCCGCATCCACATCAGAATGGTCAGAAAACGAGGTAGAGAAGCTCTGGGGTTCTTTGTGCTGCCTCTTCCTACTGGCTTTCCTCTGGGCTTGACTTTGTTTGTCAAATCCTTTCCAGAGTCCAGTGTCTTTGATTTCAGTGCCTTTGGTGATGGACCACTACCCTCATTTAGAGGAAATTCTTTGGAGAGAACTTTATTTTTGAAGTAAGAATTTTCATCAAAATAAAAATCTCTCTGTAACCTGATTTTTTGTCTTCAAATTTTGCCACTGAATACTGCAGTGCCTCTTCATCTTCCTCCCTACAGACACTTGTGGATGGCTAATACATGTTACCCAATATTTGGGATTTTGAAGATCAGTTTTGACTTCTGAAAAAATGGCTGGCAGGGCTTGTTATATTTCTGTTCTACTTTTTTTTCTGTTCTACTTTCATATCTCCTCACTGGCTTGGTCATTAAGTCTGTCATTGCTATTTCATTTTGTATTTAATCAGAATGTTCAATTGCTTCTTGTTGTTCTTTTTTCCCTTGGGCAGGCCTGGGAGGCTGATGCTGCCTTGAAGTGTGTAGGTGGTTAACTTTTTGCAACCTCAGATGTCTGAAAATTCTAGACATACTCTTTTTGTTATTGTTGTTGGTTTTTGTTTTTTGTTTTTTTGAGACAGGGTCTCACTCTGCAGTTCAGGCTGGCCTTGAGCTCACTTTGTATCCCAGACTGGCCTCAGATTCATAAAGATCCTCCTGCCTCAGCCTCCTGAGTGCTGGATTACAGGCGTGTGGGGCTCTACACATACTCTTGACATGGTAGTTTGTCTGGGTAAGTGAGTACAGTGTTGAAATATTTTTTCAAAACTTAGAAGCTATTGCACTATTGTCTTGTAGTTTGGTGTGCTGCATTTGAGAAGTTCTAAGTCATTTATTTTATAATCCTTTGCATGTTTATATCTTTTCTTCTTTTTTTGCCCCACCCCCCAAACTTTTTTATTTTCTCAACCAATGCAATAAACTTTTATGATGACAGGGCCTTTTTGGGTTGTCAATTCTAAGATATTTCCTTGACTGACATTATTGGTGATTTCCTACTCTCCATTTTTTCTATTCTCCCTCTTTGGAACATTTTATTATTTGGATGAAACATAATTAGGTCTATCATGGTGTTCTAATTGTCTTATCTTTTCTCTTTTATGCTCTATCTATATCTTTTGCTCTCCTTTCTAAAAAATTTCCCTACAATTTCTTCCAACTTTTCTGCTGTTTATTATAATTCATATTTTTTAATTGCCCAAAGCTCTTTTTGTTCACTATTTTTTCTTTTAAATTGCATCCTGCTTTTGCTTTATGAGTACAATATTATGCAGTACAATATCTCTTTCCTTCCTTCCTTGTTTCTTTTTCTTTTTCTTTCTTTCTTTCTTTCTTCCTTCCTTATTTTTGTGGTACTGGAAATTCCCAGGGGCACTCTATTGCCAAGCTACATCCCCGGCTATTTTCTAATTTTTATTTTCAGATAGAGTCTCCGTAAATTGCCAAGGCTGTTCACGAACTTGTGATTTTCTTGCCTCAGCTTTCCAAGTAACTAGAGTTGCGGTAATGTGCCTTAGCTATAGTATTTCCCATACCACTGTCTTCAAGAATGGTAATGATTGTTTTATTTGTGTCTTCAGATGGGTTGCAACCCTGAGTTATTTCCCTGTAAAGCTGTGTGGGGGCTACCTTTGGGTAGGGTAGTTCTGGGGAGTCTCTGAGTGAATTGCTTCGGGACTTTCCCATGGTCCTGGTCAGATTTCCCGGAGGAGATTTTCCCAGTTTCCTGCTGTGAGTGATAAGTATGTTGGCTGCCTGCATTCTGGGAAGTGAATTGGGAAAAGGGCTTGGGATTTCAACATTTGGCACATGTACATTCACTACCCCTGGTTGCTGTAAACAGCCTGCTCTTGGTTGTCTTTGACAAGTATCTATTTCTTCATTATCAATAGCCCCAAAACTTCATGTTTTATTTTGATCATGATATTTAAGGTGAAGCTTTTGGTAAGTATGGCTGGGTGGTGCATCTGATCACATGGCCTCAGCTGGTGTGGCTGGGACCGAGGGCCATGTTGCTTTGCTCCTCCCAGGACTGCTGCTCCTTGGCCTCTCTGTTTCTCTGGCTGTGTTTGTCCATCTCTCTCTTTAGTGTTTCATCCTTCCAGAGCTTCTGTGTATGGCCTGGGCTTCACATGACATGGCAGTGTGCTCACGCTTTATGTGTGCTGCCAACTTCCAGGGGGTGGGAGGTAGAAGTTAGCAGTATGACACGTTGGAGGGCTATGCCCACAGCTGGTACATTGTCTCTTCTGGCATATTCTACTGATCAGAGAAGTCACAGTTTTTCTCTTTCCCTGGCCCCTACATTCAAGGGCATGAGGAAATAGACTTCTCCTCATGATGGAGGAGGAAGCTTACATTGCAAGCAGTCATGTAGCTGGAGAGAGTGTCATCTTTGAAACTCCGATTTGCTGCTCTGCTCAAGTTAAAATTGATTTTTAAAAAATTTTAGCATGATTCTCATTTTGTAGGGATATTTATCAATTGGTTCCTTTTTATAGGTATTCTTCAAAATATCTGTCCAACACTGTTGAAAATCCAAATTAAAGATTGTATGAAGCTAGGCTTGTTGGCATGTGTTTGTAGTCCAAGCTACTCTGGAGGCTAAGAAGATGACCATTTGAGCCCGGCTTTGGGTCAGCCTAGGTGACATAACAAGTCCTTGTCTCAAAAAAATTAAACATTTGCACCAAGTCTTTAAGATATTTTCTTCATTTTTGTAACTAAATCTTTTCATTTGTTCTGTGGCCTTTTTCTCTTTTTCCTTTGGGAGGAGATCTGAATTTATTGTTTGAAGACTTCAGGGTATTTCTGTCAGTGATTGTGTTGGGTCTTGTTCTCTTAATCCCAAAGGAGGTATTTTCAGTTGTTATTTATTTGATACTTTTATTTTTCTCACTTGGAGATCAGTTCAACTGGGAGAAGTTGGTTGGAAGGTAGTTTTGCCTCAGGAATTCATTGCTTTTCAAAATACTGTAGTTCCTTTCAAGCCTCTGTGGGCAGATGCTGAAGGTGGGGATATCCTAACCCCTCCAAGTCCCTGCTGGGAGGTCAGTGGTTCTGTTTGTGGGGTACTTCTCTCACTTGCGACCCACTAAGTGACTCAGTCTCATTTCTTCCAGTTCAAGTCTGAGAATTCCCCAAATATTGGGGAGGATATCATGCACTTATTTCCTGTATTAGTCATTTTTCCTTTTACTGGGACAAAATACTCAAAATGCCAAACTTGAAGAGAAGTTTATTTTTGGGTATATTTTCAGTAGAGTCAATGCATGGTGAGCTGACTCTAACGCAGAAATGGCATGGTGGGAGGGCATGGCAGAAGAAAGATGCTCACCTCATGCTGGAAAGGAAGCAAAGAGAAAAGAGAGGAGCCAGGGACAAGAATACGTGTTTCTTGATCACACCTTCAGGGACCTGCCTCTTCCAACCAAGACCCATCTCTGAAATAGGGTACTTACAGGAGACATTTTAAAATCTTTTTTTTGGTTTTTCTCCTGTACCGGGAACCGAACTCAGGACCTTGCGCTTGCCAGGCGGATGCTTTGCCACTGAGCTAAATCCCCAGCCCCTTAAAATATCTTAACTATAACATTCCACCTCTCCTGGCTCTCAAAAGGTTAATGTCAATCTCATCACGCAAAATGCATGTAGTGCATCTTATGAGTTGCCAAAATTTTAACCGTTTCATCATAGCTGGAAAATCCAAGTCCAAAGTCTCCTCAGAGACTCAGGGCAAACTTTTAGCTATGAGTCCCTGTAAAAATCACAAAATAAATTAAATACTCTCAACATGCAATGGTACAGGGTAAATATTCCCATTCTAAAAGGGAAGAGGGCTGGGGATATAGCTCAGGGGCATAAGCACCTGCCTGGCAAGCACAAGGTCCTGAGTTTGATTCCTGGTACCAAAAATGAATACATAAACAAATAAATAAATAAATAAAAAGGAGGAACAGGGGATAGAAAGCAATTGGACCAAAGGAAGACTGTAACCCAAAATGGCAAACATTAAATCTTTCAGCTCCATGTCTAGCACCTGGGGGAGAGTGTGTTGAGATGTGAGCTCCAAGGGCTTGGGAAACATTACCCCTACAGCATTGCAAGTTGCATCCTACATGACCTTTCTCAGGCTGCCTCTACTCTCTGTTTGTATCTTTCCTCAACAAACATTTTATTTTCTTAGCATCTCCAGCTTCCTAAAGTATCTGCTGCATTTTTGGCTTCATTCTCACAGCTTCTCACAACACTCTATCCTGGGATCCTGGCAAGGACTGTGACCTTGTCACATATTTTTGCCTGGTCTCCAAGGCTTGCTTTTGAAATCTTGGTGAAGGCCTCCATGATCCCACTATGCTTACATTCTACATGCCTGAAAAATCAGCACCATGTAGATGATGCCAAGGTCTTTCACCAGCTTGAACAGTAGCTGGGCCTCCTTGGACCATGGATATAGTGGCCTCTGATTGCCTGGGTGGTTGAAATCAAGAAAATACTTCCCTAAAGCTATACAGCCCTGAAAGGGGAAGCTGTCGTGGAACTCTCTTATCAAAGAAGTTTTTAAAAGGAGTTTACCCTTTTCCACCCCTTAAGTCTGTGATGGGTGGATTCTGGACAAATTCTGAGATGCTTTCAAGTCATTTTTCCTATTGTCCTGATGCAAACTACTTGGCTTATTTTTAATGCTAATCTTTTAGCAACCACACTCTGCTTTGCCCCAACTTTGCAGTTGTTTCCCTGTTGCTAGGCTTCACAAAATTTAACTTTTTGCCCCCTGCTATCACAGTAAATCTGGCTGAAAGCAGCCAGCAGTACCCATACCACAGCTTGAACACTAGGCTGCCTTGCACTTTCTTCTACGTACAAGATGAATTACTCTGTCACCTTTAATCTCACTCTTCTGCAAAATCTCAGGACATGGGAAAAATGTACACAAATTTTCTGCTATGGTATACCACACATGGCTTCTAGACTAGCTGCCAATGGAGTCCTTGTTTACAATTGAAACCTCCTGAGTCTGGCCTTTAATATATGCATTACCATCACCATTCTGGTCTTCTGGGCTCTGATGTGTATTGTACAGAAGAAGCACTGCTCAGAACATCCTAGGGATTTTCTAACCCACATTTCTAATCCTTTCCAAATGCTTCCCATATACCAGTTTCAAAGCCAGGGTATGGACTCAGCAATGGTCCAACTCCAGGTACCAATTATCTGTATTAACCAGCTTTTCCAACACTGAAACAGGATATCTGATACTCACAATATAAAGGAGAGGTTTATTTTGACTCACAGTTTCAGTGGGTTCAGTACCCAGTTGGTTCCAATTTAGAAATGATATGGTGGAAGGGCATGCCAGAGAAAAGCTGCTCACATCATGGAAAACCAGAAGCAAATAGAGAAGGAAGAAGCTGACAACAACAATACTTCCTTCCAAGTCTTACCCTCATTTACCTGCTTTTCTGACTGTGCTCTATCTCTGAACACATGAGATCTTAGGGGAGACATTTTAGATCTAAACAGTCCACACATAGTTTTTCTATATAAGTTGGGGTTCTGGTCCATCTCTTTCCACCAGCACTAAGTCATCTATATTTTCTCTAAGTGTCTTGTCTATTGATATAGTTTTCCCTTATTTGAGAGTAATAGCATAGATTTTCTGCTACACTTATTATAATTTTATCATTCTTTCATGAAAGTTTTGGGGAGAGGAAGTAAGCTCAAATTACTGTATTTTCAGCCTCATTGGTCATTTTCTTTTTGGTTTGGGTTAACCAAGTTATTAAGAAATTATCCAAAGATTTGATTATGCTAGAAGGAGTAGATGTCTTATTCTCCATGGCTAAGAATAAAGGGCAAGTGTCTGGGTCTCAATCCTGGCTGCATGGCAGGATCAGATAGGGTGTGTGTACAATGAAATGATAGTGTTCAGACAGTAGCTCAGATACTGTGATTTGTTTGGCCTGGGATGTGGCCTCATCATCAGCTTTCATATAAGCTCCCTAGGTAGTTTTGGTTCATAGCATGCTAAGCACTGTAGATCTTAGAGTAGTGGCTGCACATTCTGAGTCTGTTAGTTCCTTTGGAATGGGGAAAAAAGGAGAAGAAAGAAATAGTAAGAGTAGAAAAGAAGCTATTTCATGGGAGAAGAAAGAGCATGGGATTTAGAGCTTGTGTTTGATGTTTAGGTCCACAATTAGATGTCTGTGTAATCTTGTAGCCTCATTGTATTAGTAAAATAATGATGTGTATCTTGTGGCATTGATATAAGATCAAATTGAATGTTTGTGAAAGCAAATATTGGCTATTGAAAAAAAGAAAGAATAGTATTCAAAGAGGCAGAGTACTGTCTCTTCAGAGAGAGTAAGAAACTCCAAAAAAAGGAGAGAGTGAGAAACTCCAACGATAAAGAACAATGTTTTATACTCTTGTGGGATGCCTGACCTTGGCTATGGTCTCGATCACTTATTTCCTTTTAAGTTAAAAAATTGCAGGGGATGTTCCAGGGAGGGAAATGAGATGGCCTATAAATGAGTCTTTGCTTGTGAATGCTTCCTTAGCCCAAGGATACCATAATTGCATCACCTTACAGATTTCATCCTCTTGAGAAAATAGTCTGTATTTCTTGCCCATTCTCACAAAAGTCCACCCATAATGTAAGTTCAAGATTGATGGGAAAGTTGAATAAATGCCAAAATTCTATTTTTTAAAGTATGAAGTTTGTACACTGATCTGACATCCAACCAGAAGTAAAAGAAAACTATCATGATACTCATCATTCTCTCTGCTTTATCTTCTTAGGTTGATTTCATAAATATGGTATTCATTGACTTAATATATTTGTTCTTAGTACTACTTGATTTGGTGAGAAAACAAGGATTTTTTTCTTTTTTCCTTTTTTCTGGAGGGGCGGTTTCTGGTACCGGGAATTGAACTCATGACCTTGCACTTGCCAGGCAGGCACTGTGCCACTGAGCTAAACCTCCAGCCCCCTTTTTTTCCTTTTTCCTTTGAAGGAAAATGTCGGGGTTGAAGAGATATGTTCTAACCTCTGTGAGGTATTTCCTCTGACGTCAACCAGTTCTCCAGTTCTCCAATACCAACTCTGGAGGTCCAATGACTAAGCTCAGTTCTAATACTAACAACCTAGTGATAGTGTAGACTCCACAGGTGCAAGACTAAGTCCCACAAGAGTGTCCTACGTTAGATGTTAGTCACAAGTCTCAGTATATCTGTTATTCTGGCCAACAGATTACAAATCAAGAATTCTCATGCCCCCTTAACTCACTCACATTTGAAAATTTGCTGAAGTTGTTTATAGAACTCAGGAAAATAGTTTACTTCCATTGAGTGGGTTACTATATATTTATATTTGAGACAGGGTCTTACTGTGTAGTTCAGGTCTTGAACTCACTATGTAGCCCAGGCTGGCCTGGAACCCACAGTGATCCTCCTCCAACCTCAGCCTCCCAAGTGCTGGGATTACGATGCCTGGCTGAGTGGTTTATTATAAAGGATACAACTCAACGATAGCCAGAATTAAGAGATGCATAGCTGCTATAGAGGTTTTTTTCCTGTCTCCACATGTACCATCCTCCAAGCATCTAGATCTGTTTGCCGATCAGGAAGAGGTGAAAGAGTGAAGGTGAAAGTCCGAAACCTCTAAATACGTGGTCTTTCTGGTGACCGGCTGCATCTTAGGGCCATCTAGCAACCTACCATAAATCACCTTATTAACATAAAGTTAAGTATAATTGAAAGGGGCTCATTTTGAATAACAAAGGACATTCACAGCTCAGGAAATTCCAAGGGTTTTAAGAACTCTGTATTAGTAATAAAGACAAGAACTGAATATGTTTTTTGTATTATACCATACCTTGATATCTATGCATTGACTTTTTCTTTTTGAAAATACTGCAGTCCTCCCTTATCTGTGGCTTTATTTTCTGTGGTTTCAGTCACCTGAGGTCAAACATGGACCAAAATTACTCAGTGGAAAATTCCAGAAATAAATAATTCATACATTTAAAAATATGCACAATTCTAAGTAGTGTAATGAAATCTCTTACTCTTTTATTTCCTCCTGCCCCAGATGTGAATTACCTATTTGTCCAGTGTATCCCACCTATCTGTGCTACCTGCCATTAGTCACTGAATAGCTGTCTGGGTATAAAACTGACTGTAACTATATCACGGTACTTGTGTTCCATTAACCTTTAAATAATAGCCTAACACTGTGTTGCTGTGCTTATGTCGTTAAATTCATTTAACCTCATCATGGGGGTATTGCATCATCTCACATCATTATAAGAAGGGTGAATACCAGTGCAATGAGATATTTTGAGAAAAAGAGAACAACTACATTTATATAACTTTTATTTAGTACATTGTTATAATTGTTTTATTTTATTATTCATTATTGTTAATCTATTATTATTGTTATTAATTTCATTATTACTTATTATTGTTAAATGTTATCTAATTTATAAATTAAACTCTATTATCTCTTTATCTATCTATCTATCAAAAACACAGTATATATTGAGTATGGCACTATATGTTGTTCTGGGTATACCCTAGGGGGTCTTAGAATGCAGACTTCATGGATAAAGAAGGACTACTCTAGTACTTTGTGGGTTCAGTTAAGTTAATGATCTTGAGATGAGCTTATCCTGCTTTTTTTATTTGCGCTAAATCCAATGACTGATATTCTTGTAACAAATTAAAAGTAACAGACACAAAAAGGAGAAGACCATGTAGAGATGGAGACAGAAATTACAGTGAAGCTGCCCACGAAATGCCTGGAAGCACTAGAAGCTGGAAGGATCAAGGAAACACCTAAGAAGTGGATAAGAAGGAGCACTGCTCTGATGACACTTTGACTTTGGACTTCTGATCCTCAGTATAAAAGAATAAATTTCTTTTGTTTTGAGCCACTGAGTGCTAATTTATTATGGAAGCCCTAATAAGGAAAATAAAGGAAATAAACTTTTTCTCATCCCACCTCCCTCCCTTTTATCCCTTCTCCTTCAGCTTAATTATAAATTCAAGAAATGATCTAATTATACTGGAGAGGAGAAAAAGTCCCAGCAGAAGGCAAACGATATGCAAGTTAAATGACCACATAGTACCACCAGACGGACTTGCCACAGGCCACCAGGCAGCTGAGTGTTAAGAGAGGAGTGCATATAATAACTATAGAAGGTGAGGGGCTTCTTTGTCCTCAGACTCAGTGTTTCTCTGGACAAGACATTCCTTGGTCAAAGAGTGAGCTTTCTCTCTTGACACCTTCATTTGGTGACACCACTTGGTCCTTCAGTTTTGAGACTTCAGCTAGATTCTTCTAGCTCCAAGATTTTTCGAGACTATGCTTATAACATATTGATACTTTACCTGCCTCCCAAAGGGAATTTTAGAATATAGAAACTTAAAAATAGTTGACAAAAGCCACTAGGTTGTTTAATCCCTTGTAAAAATCCTTGAGAAAGTCAAGACAGCTATTGAAGGAATGCTTGGGAAAAGAATGTACTTTAAAAGGAAACTGGACCTTTCTTCAGTCTCGTAGGCCCTTTTGGAAGCAGACATTATGGAGCAATTTGTCAGGTCACTAGCTGACTACCTAGATAACCAAATAAACATTCTAGTAACTACACAAAATGAACACATATACTGCAAAAATAGTTTGGAGGAGTTACAAATTGATGGCTTCAGTTCTTAACAAGCAAGGCTCAGCCATCCCTAAATAGAAAATTAAATCTCTATAGAGTCATCATAACATAATGCTCAAAATGTCCAGTTTTAAACAGCAACAGAAATACAAAATATACCAAAAAAAAAAAAAAAAAAAACCCCAGGAAAATATGGTCCATTCACAGGTAAAAAAAGGATTGTTAGAAAACACTTCTGAGAAATTCCAGACATTGGAATTGAACAGAATATGAACAGAGCATGAACGATATGTAGGATACTACCAAAAAATTAACATATGGATTAGAGGAATTACAGAATGGGGACAAAGAATATTCAAGTAATCAATGGCAGAAATCCTCCCAAATTTGAGGACATGAATATAGACAAAGAGGAAACTCAGTGCATTCCAAGGAAGGTAAACTCAAAAGAGATCAACTTGGAGACACATTATAGCCAAATTGTTGAGACCAAAGACAGAGAATTCTGAAAACGGAATGAAGTTTTCATTACAAAATTGCCTCAATAATATTAACAACAAATTTCTCCTTAGCAGCCATAGAGACCAAAGGGCAGTGAGATGGCACAAAATTCTGAAAGAAAAGGATGCAATCAAGAAATCTATGCTTGGCAAAATTATCTTTCAAGAATGAAGGAGAAATTATAAATGAAAGAGAGGGAGTTTATTATCAGTATACTTACTCTGTAAGAATTGTCAAAGTAAATTCTCCAGGCTGAAATAAAAATACAGTGATGGTAAATTCAAGCCATAAGAAGAAATAAAAACAACTACATAAGTAAATGTAAAATCTAGTGTTGTTGGTGTATTAGTCAGCTTTCTGTCCCTGCAACAAAATACCTGACATATTTAAAGGAAAACAGTTTTATTTTGTCTCCCAGTTTTAGAAGTTTCAGTCCATGATTGGCTGGCTCCAAGGCAGGAAGAGCATGGCAGAAGAAAGCTGCTCACCTCATGCATACAGAGAGCAGAGAGGAGGGTGGCATGGGGACAGAGCTAGAGAGAGACTAAGGGGCTGGGAATAAGGTGCATCCTTCAGAGTAGGCCCACCGTGACTTATGGCTTCCAATGGACTTCCATTTTTTTTCTTGTCTTTCTTTCTTTCTTTCTTTCTTTCTTTCTTTCTTTCTTTCTTTCTTTCTTTTCTTTTGTTTTTCTTGTAGATGTTTATTTATTGATATCAGAAAGTATTCACAATAGATTTTTCATTGAAAAAAAATCAAGATTGAAAACCAGAAGCCCAAAGAGGTTAAGTACAATATGAGTCCATCTATATTTGTTAACATGGACTAAACATGGATGTGGCTTTTCAGAGGATTGAACCATTGATTAGGTTAGTGACCTCATGCAGCAATGCCTTCTGAAAGCCCCACCTGTGAACACATGAGACTTTTGGGGAACATTTTAGTTCCTAAAAGGTAATAACTGGGCTTTTGCTCTGATTTGTAATGTTCCTCTTTTTCCTGTATGATTTAATGTTGGAGGCCACCCTGTTGATTATGCCTAGAGTAGGCTGTAAGCAGTACAGGCTGTAAAGAGTTAACCTCATAATTGGCTTGTTTTAAGTAGTGAGTCGGGCTGAAGCCTATGTGACTCATAAGACTGCTGCACATGGCCTCAGATTAACATCCCCTGCTCCGCCAGTGGCCACAGCAGAGACCAGAGTTACGGTCCATGAAACTGAGAGGCTCTGATGTGAGACAACATGGCAGCAGAGGACAAGTGACTCTTCCCAAATTCCTTTCCCAGAATTGTAGTTTACTTTACTTGAAGAATGAGTTACTCATTAACCATTACTTATTCCTGGTCTCTTTTGTTTTTGATGCAAGGATGTTTTGTTCCCTCTGTTACAAGCCCTGTCTGTGTCAGCATCTTATTCCAGCAAACACATGTAGCCTCCTCACCCTGTTCTGTAGATTGTACAACCATAAATACTGTGGGTCTGGCTGTTTGGGGTATTTTCTCTCTCAAGCATTGACCATCCCAGTTCTCCATTTCACTTTTATCTTTTCTGAGATTTTCTTTGCAGCCTTGTGTTGTAGCATCAAACAGAAGATCAGGATCTCCAATAATTTGATAATTAAATGCATGAAATGATGATTCTGTGTTTAAGAGCACACAACATATAAAGATGCAATCTGTGACAGCAATATAAAGGGGGCAGTGTATATGACCACAGTGCTTACATATGATGGAAACTAGGTTAGCATTATTCAGACTTGGTTGTGGTAAGTTTAAGATGTCAATCAAAATTCCCAAGATAGGCTTGGGGATATAGCTCAGAATTGCAGTGCCTGCCTGGCAAGGGAGAGGTCCTGAGTGCAATTCCTGATACTAAAAAAAAAAAAAAGCCAAGACAACCACTAAGAAAATAACTTTAAAAATACATCGTATGTTATAAAACTAAAGACTATGGAAAACATTTTCCTTGTTTCAGATAACTTATAATTTTTTATTTATGGATCCACAACTCTGTGAGAGGAGTCAGTTATATGTGGTAGGCTTTGACAACTGGGGGAAGAGCTGTGAGGTAGTACTTTGAACCATTTTTGTCAAGTGAAGTACAAACCCTGGGTTAAAGGAAGAGCATAATAGAATGGAGAAATCTCTTGGTTAGTAGGCATTAAAATTGGGTTCTTGTCACTTGGGTTCTTTTTGCTAGTAAGCCACATGACTTTGGACAAATCTCTTCTTCTTTTTTTTTTTTAATCTGTAAAGACAGAATGTTTATATTAGCCTATTAACAAAAATTAGTATTTTTGTTACTATAACAAAATACTCAAGGGAGGCTAAATTTACTAAGAAAAGAGGGCTATTTAGCTTATATGGTTGGAGGTTCAGTGGTATGAACTGACACCATCATGGCTCTGATGAAGGTCTTGTGGTGGATTATAACATAATGGTGGGAGCATGCTTGAGTGGGAGAGATTACATTCCTAAGATTTTTTTGTAGTACCGGGGATTGAACTCAGGGCCTTTGGACTGAGCTACATCCTCAGACTTTTTTACTTATTTATTTTTATTTTAAAACAGGGTCTTGCTAAGTTGTTAAGTTGCCCCAGGCAGAGTTTGAACTTGCAATCCTCCTACCTCACCATCCCAGAATGCTAGGGTTACAGGCATGCGTCACCATATGCAGCTCCAAACAGGCAATTCAAGAGGTTTGATCCCACATTCTCTCCTGAGGACACTGCCCCAGTGACTTAAAGACCTTCCACTATGCTCTAGTTCTTAAAGATCTATTACTCCCCAACATTGCTTCACTGAAGACCAAGCTTCCAATACATGAATCACTGTGGGACACACCCAACCATATCCAATACATTGCAGTTCCAACTAGATGATTTCCAAGGTTCCAGCCAGCCTGAAGATAAGCACCACGGTTTTCCCTCTCCTAAGGCATGCCCTCTGAATAGAAGAACACGAGTAACAGAGACCTCTTTCTATTTACTTCTCCTGGAGTATGCAATTTCTGAGGCTAATTTTTTTTTTTTTTTTTTGGTACCGGGAATTAAACTCAGGACCTTGTGCTTGCCAGGCAGGCGCTTATGCAACTGAGCTATATCCCTGGCCCCTCTGAGGCTAATTTTAAAGACAGGAAAGTATCACATAAGTTGTCCAAACTTTGAGAGATGAGACCTGTTTTGAGTGAGTCAAGTAAGCAGACATTCAGTCCAAATAGAGTAATTTTTTTGGAGGGTTATGTGCCGAGTAATGTGCTCAAAATTACACATACAGAAAAGTAAGAATGAATGCTTCCTTTAAGGAGCTGACATGTATGACTGTCTCAATCAGGAAACTGGTGTTTAAGAGGACAGAAGTTGTATGGATGAATCCACAGGAGCAGAGGCATATCTGGTTCAAGAAGCCAAATGGATTTTTAGATCAGAGAGCTGGCCATGCAGTCAGGCTGCCACGGATCAACCGTGTGCCATTTTCCTAACATCCAGAGTAGGCTTCTGTAAACTCTTTTTGGAAATAAACTGCACTACTGTAGGGATTTCGTTCTAATCAGTAGCCTGACTGTCTCATTTTGAAGTTAATACTTCCTCTTGCTCTATTTAATTTAAAAAGACACAGTCCCCACCCTTTTCCACTTCTGGTCAACGGCGTTAGTTCCTCATTTAGCACTCTATAGAAGACATAAATGCAGCACCCTTGGGGCAGGACAAGCGGTGAGAAAGGGAGATATGAACTCCTTACCTGTGTCCTTGAGAGCTCCGGGG